TGTGTGTGTGTGTGTGTGTGTGTGTGTGTGTGTGTGTGTCATCAGCAAAAGGAGAGGTAGAGTCTAACAGGCAGATAACTACTGTGGAATCAGTAATGTACCCTGAAGTTCTGGGTTTTGCCACACACTAGTTGTGAGATATGGGGCTTGTTATTTTCTGAACTTTCTTTATCAACATGTGAAGCCATGCACTGGGAGTAGAAGAAACTTAAGTTCCTTCTAAATACAAAATGTTAAGCTGATCCCCTTACCTCCTATTCCTCAACAGTCAAGAGTCTCTTTGACTATGTAAGTTAAAATTTCATAAAAAACAAGAAACAGAAAAAAAGAGTCAAAATTCAGGTAAATAGTGAGAGTGGTAGAAAAAGCCATTGGAGTAGATGAAATTACTTAAGGAGAATACCTAAAAATGAGACTAGATGGCTAAGGGTTTCCATTCCCAAACATTAAGGCATTATCAAATGCATTTATTCATTCACTCAACCAATACTTATTTGGTGCCTGCTGTATGCCAAACAGACTCTAGGGGCAGAAATACAGCAATGAGTGAAACAGAACAAAGCTCTGCTCTCTTTGGCTTACTATTAGTCCAGTGGAAAAGACTAAAAATAAATAGTAAACAAAGAAATTTAGAAATAAAAAGAGCTAGGAAGAAAATGAAACAGAATAATCTGAGAGAAAGTGACTCGGCCGGAGGGGCAGGACTGGATACTTTAGATAGTGCTCAGGTCACCCCCCGAAAGGTGGTATCTGAGCCTAGACTTGACTGAAGATGGAACCAACCCCTGATGGATCTGTAGGAGGAGCTCAGGAAAAGGACAAGATATGGAAGCAGGACTGTTGTTTGTAGAACCAAGAGAAGGCCGTCTGGGATACAGTGAGTAAGGGAATGTGGAATATGTGGCATTTAAGAAACAAAACAAATGAGGAAAGGGGAACGAAAGAGAGAGAAACAAACTAAGAAACAGACTCTTAACTATAGAGAACAAACCAATGGTTACCAGAGAGGAGGTGAGGAGGGGTTGGGGGAAATAGGGGATGGGATTAAAGACTACACTTATCATGATGAAAATAGAAAATAAAATAAAATAAAATAAAAGCAGTCTTCCTGCTGAGCAGGGAGCCCAACCCAGGGCTTGATTCCAGCACCCTGGGATTATGATGTGGGCCAAAGGCAAACACTTAACAACTGAGCCACCTAGGCGCCTAGTCTAGCTCTTTTAAATGAGGAATTGGTTCTGGGAAATGGTTGGATTTGTAAAATACCGTGTACATAAGATTCTGCAGGGACAGAGACACTGTATAAAGAGAAGTTCATCTGAATGCTCTTCTGACTTGCAGGGGGATTCATAAGTAAACAATTTATAAACTGTTGTTATTGGTGAGGTAGCACTGAGGAGTGGTTTGGGGCATGGACTTGGCACTCAGATTGTCTATGTCTGAATCCTGATTCTATGGTTTACTCACTGTGTGACTTCTCTGAGCTTTACTTTCCTTAGTTATAAAATGAGAATAGTAATAATATCCATCTCTGTGCATGTTATGATATTTAAATGACCAAATTTTTATAAAGCACTTGGAAAGGTATCTGGCTTATTGGTAAATTCTTAAAGTCAACCGAATGTTAATCTAGACCACTCGCCTTGTCTAAAGCACAAGAGTTGGTTGGGTTCAGGGAGCCTGGGTGGCTCAGTGGGTTAAAGCCTCTGCCTTTAGTTCAGGTCATGATCCCAGGGTTCTGGGGAGCTCTCTGCTCAGCAGGGAGCCTGCATCCCCCTCTCTCTCTGCCTGTCTCTCTGCCTACTTGTGATCTCTGTCAAATAAATTAAAAAAAATAAAATAAAAAGAGGTTTGGATC